AATTATATATTAGGTAACAATACCAATATTCAAAGTACCTCCAAATAAATACAAACTCGGCATTTTGTTGTACAATTGTTTGGATAAGTCAATGACATTAACGATTGTAGTAAGCAGTGATAGTGAATAGAAGTTGTTGATTGTAATAGTTTTATTGTATGTATTAATATAAACATTTTATTGTAGATAAAAACATCAACCGAAGAAATACAATATAAGACGGAAATTGAATCTCACCGCTACTTCTACGGTGAATACATTTTACCATGCGCGGTTAATGTTTCGTCTGAAGACGATATTATTATAGAACTTGTTAACAGTGTACGTATGGATTCCTTTATTATTTTGAACGTGTATTCAATTGTTCTAATTTTAACTCTGTTGTAGGCGGAGTACATATCTCTTTATTGGGTTTCTTTATATTCAGAAGAAAAGTTAAATATTATGGAACGCAACTCGAAAATTGAAACGTTTCCAACTGGCGTAAAGATGATTGATCATTGGCAATTTGTTTGTCCTACAAAAAAATATGCCATAGACTAATTAATGCGAATATTGTGTACCATACACTAATATAGTATTAGTATTATTAAATATGAAATTATGTCTATTACCGTTTTGAGATTATCGAATAGTATACAAATCTATCCTATAATTCGATAATTAACAAAATGGTTTGTACTTTTATCGAAAAACTTGGCAGAAAAAGAAATAATAACATTACACTTAAATGGGAGACGAATATATTATAAACATTGCACAAAGATCAATTATTCATTATGGTTAAAATACTAATACCCCGTGTTATTTATACAAGTAAACTCGTTATAAAAAGATGTTGATCTTCCTGCAGCTGTCCTTACATCAGAAAATTTTATATCCGACTTTTTTATTATTGGAAATCTTCCTTAATAAGAACAATAAATACAATAATAGCGACAGATGTTAAACATTATCTACATGAAGCCACTTACTGCTCGTCTCTTGATTAAACGCCCGGCTCGTCACTATACTTATTCTACAACGTACCTATGCGATGCATAACATTCGGCCGACAATAACAACTATATTCGAGCAGTTTTTCTGTCCCTCACACGAGAAATCCTGCCAATTAGAAAATTATCAGACAATCTGAACAAGAAACTGTCCGTTGTAGTCTGATATCCATCGACGATGTGTTGAAATGGATCGTTTGATGACCATCATAGCTGATATCTTCGGCCAAGTTGCAGACCCCCTACGAAAAAGCGATATCAAGCCATTCTCAAGAGACGATTAACCCTCCAACAGTCTATTATTTTCAAATGTCCTCCACATACCGGTATACGTAAAAAGCACACTAATGCACGGTGTTATTAGGTAGTAACAGCATAGAAATGAGTCGCCAAGCATATGTTGTCTATATCAAGACCACAAAAAGCCCCCACATGCCGTACCGGTAGGTATAATTCTGGTCAAGATCAATAATACCCTTAAACAGACACTCTTATCATAGTAAACGTCGTTTAGACGTAATCTGAAAGTCTCGCTCATTTGTACTTTGCACCGCGAGATAACTAGTTCCACATAGTTACCACCTCGTTCGTCACCAAACGTTAGCTCGAAAACGGATATTGGGAGGGGGTGCTCTGTCGATTGTAAGACATCACCCGTCTTGAACAGAATTGCTGTATCGTCCCTCTGAATATGAACAGTATTAGCCGAGTTTGCCGAGAATACGGAATAAGTTTGACCTAGCCCACGATTCCCGCTATCGTGTTTGATTAATTC